GTGATCTCTTGCTTTCTTCATGGATAATGTTCTTGATATCTTCCCATAATTCATCTGGCTTTCGGTCATTGGTGTTCAATGTTCAATGCATCAATCATGTCACTTTAGTTTTGTGTATTTCACTGTACATAAATTCTATTTCAATAAAATGTATTTTTTAAAAAACGTGACATCTTTGTTTTTTCACTTTCAAGAGATCTTTTACAGATTTGCCCAATGCAACTACGAAGACTGATTTCTTGACTATAGCTACCAGGAGTGTTGATTGTGGATACAAGTAAAATTAAATACTTGACAATGTCAATGTTTTCTCAGTTTATCATGAGGTTGCTTATTGGTCCAGTTGTGAGGATTTTTGTTTTTTTTATGTTGAGGTGTAATCCATACTGAAGGCTGTAGTCTTTAATCTTCATCAGTAAGAGCTTTAAGGCCTCTTCACTTTCAGCAAGCAAGGTTTTGTTATCTGCATATCACAGATATATTTACCTGTGTGTTACCAATTAAGCAAAGGCATTTAATTGTGTGGATCATAACAAGTTATGGACAACATTGTAAAGAATGGGAATTCCAAAATACTTAAAATGTACTCATATAGACCCTGTATATAGACTAAGAGGCAGTCCTTCAAACAGAAGTAGGGGATACTAAATGGTTTAACATCAGGAAAGGCATGTGTCACGGTTGTATCTTTTCAATATACTTAATCCATCTGTGTGCTGAGCAAATAATCCAACAAGCTGCACTATATGAAGGATAATGTGGCATCAGGACTGGAGAAAGACTGGCATAGTAAGCATTTAATAAATGTCAGTTATTGTCACCAGTATGAAATCTAAAGCTCAGAGACATTAAGTGACATGTTCAAATATTCAAAATAGTAGGTAGAAGAGTTAGAACTATAACACAAGTTTTCTACCTCCTTGTTCAGTGGCTTTTCTATTACACTATATTGCTTTAATTACATTAAATCAATGATACTACTCATTTACTTGTTTAAGGACTATTTTATTCTGTAAATATGTAATTAAAGCACACTTCTATAGATCTCTGCCTTTATTCAGAAATCACTATGACACGCTGTGTGACGTGAAGCATCTCAGAAGCAACCAAGTTCAAATTTTAGCAACCAAAGAAATGTAGCCTTGTAGAAACAACAGTCTTTGGCAAATATCCATAAGATACAATACTTATCATACTACTTGCTTATTTTTAAAATATTTTAAGTTGACATGAATGCTAAAAAGTAAAATAGATGTTTTATTTCTATCAATGGAAAAATAGTCCTTAACATATATAATGCCTATTTTTACTCTCAGAGCAGAGTACACTCACATGGTCATAAAGTAGATCGATGAAAAGAAAAAAGCCATCAATCCTTGCCATCATGAAGCTACATTTTTGTAGGAGAAACCAGACAACCAACAATATACACTCTGGTAGCATAGTGCCTAAGACACTTTACTGCTAACCAGAAGGCTGGCAGTTCAAACCCATCAGCCACTCCTCAGAAGGAAGGTTGGGCAATCTACTTCCGTAGTGATACTGCCTTGGAAACCCAAGGATCACTATGAGTCAGGTCCGACTTGATGGCGCATAACAACGACAACAACAAAGATGTAATACAGTATCACTTCATGACAAGATCTAAGAAGGAAAATAAAGTGATAGGATGAGGGGATATAGTGATGAGCAGGAGATATTAGATATGTTAATTTAGGAAGATCTCAGAGGAGGTAACATTTGAGCAGAGCCCTGAACAAAGAGAGAAGATGAGTTATATGGGAAGATGATTCTGCCACGAATATGTCTGAGGAATGACATGGAGGCCAGAGTGGGTAAAAGGGAGAGTGGCAGGAAATGAGGTAAAAGATGTTGCAGTGGGACAGATCAGATAGGTTAGGGCCTTGCTGGCTATGGTGAAGATTTTGATTTTAGTCTAAAAGTGTGATGAGAAAACCAATGGAGGATTGAGAGGAGAACAGTGACATGATCAAATTCACATTTTATTAAGTATCACTTCGGCTACTGTGCAGTGATTAGACTACACTCACTCTTCACTTAACAACTTGGTTAGATTCCAAAGATCAGGTCGTTATGAAAAACCTGGCATTATGTAAAGATGGAGGATGACCACACTAGATCGCAAAATGGAGGATGATATTATATTACTGCCAAATTAATCCTTACATAACTACCAAACCAGTGAGATTCATGGTCCAGCCATGTTGACACGTAACCTGACGACCACAGCCAACATTACTCTTGCCTTGCATGTTACTGCCAGATCTATGTTACTGTGCAAAAAAGTCACATAGTAGATTTTTCACTATGGTAGTAAATGTGAAATGTTGGATAAGAAGACAGTGAATAGGTGAAGTGTAAGTGTATAGTGGGACAGTAGTGGGAACACAGCTATTAGGAGCTCATTTATTCATCCAATAAATATGTATTGAGCACCTACTAATAGTAGACTGTTCTAGGTGCATAGGATATAGCACTGAAAAAAAAAAAAAAGGAAACCATCCCAGGCCTCTGGCCTTACACTAATTATAGTGCCTACTGCAGTAGCCCAGGCAAGAGATGACAGTAGCCTGGACTTAGGTGGTAGCAGTTGAACTAGTGAGAAGGGATCAAAGTTAATACATATTTTCAGGACAGAATCTGCATTTGTTGAATACTGAATATGGGCTGCTGCAGAGGGAAGTCAAGAATGGCTCCAATCACTCCACATGATTCTGTTATGCAGTCGCAAAATCAATGAGCCACTCCTCGGAAGGAAGATGGGGCAATCTACTTCCATAGTGACAGTGCCTTGGAAACCCAAGGAGGGGTCGCTATGAGTCAGGTCCGACTCGACGGCACACAACAACAACAACAAAAAATAGTATGGGTAGAGTGATCAGAGAGGTCTGAAGACTAAGCCTTGCCACACTGGAACAAGATCCATATAATCTATAAATACATTCAAATTATCCTTGTATACTTAATTATTTTAAGTATACAAAATACATTTGATGCAGAATCTTTACCACTAATCTTTATTAATAATTAAGAACATGCAATTTGAAGTTAATTTTTGTCATCTTCTGAGTAAAATGCTTCATTACAAAGCATTCATTTTAAAAATTAATCAATTGAATCTAATTCTAGAACTTCTTTTGCTACATTTGAACAGAAAAGAATGACATTAGCCCAAATTAAGAAAGCCATTATAACTTTTTTAAATTGCTGATGTTTTAACTTTCTGATATAGAGACAAAAATCATTAATTTTTCAGATTTTCTACTGTCCTAATATATACATTCAACAGTAAAATTTATTTTTGAGCACAGCTTTAGCTATAGCCTACAAGTTTTATTATACTCTTCATTATTTAAAATATTTTAAATTTCTTGTGATTTCATTTTAACTCAAAAGCAAGTTAGAAGCATACTATTTGATACCTAAATATCTGCGGATTTGCTAACACTTTGTTATTGATTAATTCCACCATGGGCACAGTGATTTCAATATTTTTACATTTGTTGAGACTTACTTCTGTATGGCTAAGCATATCATTAAGTTGGTAAATAACCTACGTGCACTTGGAAAAAACATATACTCTACAATTTCTGGACACAGTGCTCACACGAGTCAAGTTTGCTGGCTTGCTCATTTATTCACTCTTGCATTGAGTAAGTGAATTAACCCTAAAAGTGGCTTTTTGGCTTTTAAAAACCTAAGAATGAAACCAAAAGACGTTTCATACCCCTGAAGAAATACAGTGATTACAGAAACTTAAGTTATATCCCCAGGCCTCAAAAGGCTTTCAACAATTGGAATTATTCTTCTCAGAAAACACATAAGCACAGTAACATTTTTCCATTCCTAGTAATAAAAGGCTAGTTTATATCATGTTTCACAAACTTGACAGCAAGCAGTTTACCTGATTTTCATCCTGCACTTCCATGGTGTACTGGTCACCTGGCTGAACTTCCGTGACTTTCTCTCCAAGGAGGAAACCCAGACGAGTCATGAGTGTGTTTGCTGCCTCATCTACAGACGGAGGGGGGCCAAGTTCCTGTTCAGCATCACCTGTAACAAGACGACATTGGAAAATATCATGACTCCTTCAAAATGAAATGGCCTAATTCTGCAACTCTTGTTTTCACATTCTACATCCAAAATAACAAGGTCTCTGTGTAGAAGCTAATTTTCCCACTTTCACAGATTAGAAGTGATAAAATAGCCAACTCAGATTATTCTCAATGTATTTGTTTGAAACATATGAGGTTGAGGGAATGTTTTTCTAAATTGCTGAACAGAAAATGCTTCCCATTTGTCAGGCAGTTAGAATTCCAATATAATCCCAGTCTTGGGATCCAGTTTCCAGTCTCCACGTCATTCAGGTTCTTTTGTTTTTCCTTTCTATTTGTTTTTTTCACAGAGGGTGTTTTTTTTATTACTTTAGTTTTTTTTTTTTTTCCCCTTGTTTGTACATGTGAGAAGAAATGATTGAGGGATAATTATTATTTAAAAGTGTTAGAAAAATTCTGTGATGACTCAGCTACATTTCTTTCTTTACTCCAGGGCAAACAGCATATCATTGGTATCATTATTTTCTTAAAAATGTTATTTGGTTAGGGGTAAGCGTTTGTTGTACTAGAGAATTTACTGTATGGAATAAAGTTTGAGAAAAGAAAACTTCATTACTTTTGTAAGGTACCAGAAAATAGCATCTATACATACATACATATATATACACACACATACACACACACATATATAGCCACACACACACATATATATATGACCACATATATATACATATACATGTATACATGTGATGTGTGTGTGTGTGTGTGTGTGTGTGTGTGTGTGTATATATATATATATATGGTCTTATATATAGCCTTTGACTATAAGGGAAGTTTTACTTGTAAAACTGAACAAATTCTAATCAATGCTCTTTCACTTTAAGACTTATTTAAAAAATCATTTCTATAAAACATAATGCTTTTAGATTTTAAGGATAGCCTTCCTGTTCTATGGTACCAAGGATGATTTATATGCATTAATAGAAGAGTAAGTCTTTACTATAAGTACTAGCTAGTTTTTGATACAATATAAAAATGTACTGTATGCTTTTGATACTTAATACACTCAATATTTTAATAAAACATTAACTATCAGATAAGAATATTCCTTTTAAAACTAGTTTGTAACAGAGCCAACAGAAAATCAGCCAGTATTAAGCTTGTGCCTCCTAATTCTCTCCAAACATTAAAAGAAAATTCTCTAATCGTTCTGCATGATGATGACTCCCACTCTCTGTGTAAAAAAATTTTTTTCTGGCAGCAATGTAAATATCATCTTCACCCACTCACAATTATAATTTGAGCATTACGGCTACCATAGAAGGTAAGACAAAAGCAGAAAATATGATAATGCTGAATTTACCTCTATAATCTATAAAACACATTTGGAATTTATAGCTGGGCAAATTACACATTCCCTCCCTCCCCCATATTTAATGGAAACAGGCTAAATAATGCCAGATGGAGATCAGAACCAGGAAGTGAAGTTTTTCAGCAACTTAGTATCATGGTAAAACCACAAGCACAACAGGCAAAAACTTGTCAAAATTTCAATGTGAAATACTAATTCTTCCGAGATTTAGTTTCCAAATCCAATCTTGCTCAAAGAGATGGGCCATGAACCAACTCTAAAAGCCTGTTTGAAAAGGGAACTTCTTCATACCTGAAGTTATCAATTGGTTTATACCATTTCAATTTCTCAATATATTGCTTCCAACATTTAAAGGAGCAAGTCCCCAAGCACGCAGTGTTCTAAAACTGTTTTAGAGGGCAGTCTTGTCCCATTTGGCTTAATGGTTAGCATGGAATGGGAAAATGAAGATACTCTTTTTACATACTTCAGAATATGTTTGTAATCTAAAAATATAACTGTTAAATGTTTTTACCCAAAGCAAATAATGGTAGCAGGAGACTTTGAGTAATGGGAGAGTCCTCTGCTGATGAGGAAAACAACTGGACAAAATATATTTTAAAAATCTTTTTAGAAGCATTAAAGAACTAACAAGATGGTGAAGAACCACTAAGACCAATTCAGGAAAAAGACAGAAGCCCAGAATAGAGAGTTGGCCCAGCACAAAACGTCACTTTAGCGCTGGACACATTCACTAACCAGGAAGCAATGACTGAGCAGCTGAGCTGTGCTTCTGGCTATCTCAGAGGCTCAGGAGACAAAAGCTGGGAGTCCAAGATCTGTCAAGGGTGGGGATTCTGGAAAAACACCCACACTGTAGGCTAAGACCCTCAAGAGATATACCCTGGGAGTAAAGATGAACCAGGAACAACTCAGGCCTTACAGACGTGATTTATGTCATCTGGTTAGCCTTCCGATTAGAAAAACCCCAAACCATGACCTTGGATTGACGTGGTCCTGGGTTGCTAGCACTCCCAGGTACCTGACAGAAGCAAATGAAAACCCTTTTTAGAGGGGGCCAAAAATAATAATCCTAGCTTCAGATTATTTCTACAAATATTTTTTAATTTAAATATTTGTTTCGATTCCTAGAACACAAAAATAAAGGTATGGAAAGACAACTAGCAGAAACAGACAACAGAAATAGTGGCAAAAGTGGAGAAGGATAGAGTACTGTGCTAATCTCATAATTCTTCATATGCTATTGTAAAAATGTGGTAGAAAAGAGCTAGAGTGCATGGATGATGAGTGGTGGAGATGAAGGAAGGAGCAAACAGTGCAGGAGTTAACGGGATATAGGGAAGAGCCATTTGATGACCAGTGTGGGAGATGGCAAATCTGTCTCCCGACCACCACTAGAGGTTATTGGTTGAGGAATTTTTTCCTTAGTTCTTTCCTTCTTTGCTTTTCAAAGCAACTTCATGTTTCAATTATTCAAACATGTATACTGCTTCCTCATGGTATAGGAAAACCACCATTAATAACAAAAAGTGAAATAATGGAAACAGTGTGATTACCCTGCTTTTTCCGATGTCTGGACATCATAATGCACTGTTGATAATGTTCATGTACTGCAGTGATGTATCAGAGTGCATATCTTAAACTGAACTATTCCAAACAGTAGTGTACATAAACTAATAAAGGATCTAAATTAGGAACTCTTGATCTGAGGCCCTCTAATACATGTTCTTCTGGAGTTCTGAAAATCCCTTGAAATTATGTATTTGATAGGGAATGAGTAGGGGAATTGTTCATTCTCTCATTTTCTAGTCCTTTCCTGGCCATTTCCTAAACAAAGTAAAACTCCCACTAAGCCATAGTAGAGGTCTCAAATTCAAATGACTTCAGGGTCCAAGCAGTTTTGAAGGTAGCCGGTATGGCCAGGGATGATAATGATAACAATAATGATAATAATAATAATAATAGGAAATTATAAGGGTCAATTGCAAAACTTATGTGCAGCCTAAAGGCATCCAAATTTTAATTTGAAAAAATGTGCTTTGCCTACCAGCTTTTTGACACTTTCTCTAGAATAATTTGTCTACTATTTCAAAGTTAAATATAAATTAGAGGTTAAGATGGTAGTTACAAATGTTTTCTGCACTCCTAAATAAGAACTCTCTCTCAATATGGGGGGCCAGAGGGCAGAAACATCTTCTCTCCCTCCAGGGAAGAGGGGCTCCTAAAGATAGATGGACAAACTAGATCTACGTTCAGTTATTAATGACAAAGGTCACCGCCAACCCCCAACTGAGGGAAAAAAGGTCTCAGGCAAGATGTAAGTTGGGGGAGATGCATAAATACCTGAGGAACCTTTAATCAAGGACCCCATCTCATGAAGTGAAAGTGCTGGTGTTTCTCCCAGTTATTCTTCCTTCCCCTTCTTCCCTTCTAAACGACTGCCTTCTTTAAATTAACCTACCTAGGGCTTATGTTGAACAATCAACTTTCAGTGAGCCTCTCCAGTCGTAGAAAGGAGTATACCGAGCTTTAGCATACAGAAGGAGAGCTAGCAGTAATACAACCTAGTTAGGATGCTCTAGTCTTCAGATAAATTATTATATTGGACAAAACAAATCTAAACATTTTATTAATTTTTTTTCAAACCCACCAGCCACTCCTCAGAAGATGGGGCAATCCACTTCTGTAGTGATACCTCCTCGGAAACCCAAGGAGAGTTGCTATGAGTCAGTGAGTTTGCTTTTTTTGGTCTGAAAAGCCAGGCAATATACAAAATTTCTGTATGTGAGTACAATCTTCCAGAGAGCTTATTCATAAATTTTATCAGTTGCTCAGAGGGGTTGCCATTGTTGTAAAGTTGGCCCTCGATTCATGGGACCCCATGCACAAAAGAATGAAACGCTGCCTTGTCCTGAGCTATCTTCATGATTGGTTGGGGATCATACCGTTGTGACCCATGGGTTGTGTGTGTGTGTGTGTGTGTGTGTGTATGTTTTGGGTGCAAATTTACAGAGCAGAATTTGTTTTGCACTCAACAGTACGGGTACACTTGGTTTCACTCCCTGATTACCATCCCCAACCCCAACCCACTCTCCTCCTCTCCCTTCCCTGGGACCTGCCCCCTGCCCCAATCCCTGTGCCCTTCTTAGTTATGTGGTCCTGTCTGTCCAGCTTTCCCTCCATGTGAATGTTGCCTCTCTGGTGCCCCATAGCCGACTGCTCCAAAGGGTCTAACTACGTAGAGTAGCTAGGAACATCGCCCTGGGTTGGATGTTCTGCATGTAAGTCTTTCTACTGTTAGGTTGAGAGAAAGTCCTTGGGAGTGAGTCCTCTCTCAGGCCCCAAGTGCATCCCAGGGCCATAGTCTCGGGGATCCAATCAGACTTCATCAGACCAATAATTCTGGTTGTCATTGTGTTTTTAAATTCTGTTCCACATTTTTCCTCCCACTCTATCCAGGATCTCTGGTTTTGATCCTTTCCCAAGCAGTAGGCATTGGTAGCCAGGCACCGTCTAGTTCTTCTGTTCCTGAGGTCTATCATATCCTAGGGCTGATTATTCCAAATGCCCTTGATTTTCTTCACTCTTCTTCGCTTCAGACAGGAGGAGACCATTAACTGTATGTT